TCAAACCGTGGCAGACGCGGATACCTGACGCACCAATGGAAAATTAAAACCCCTCCAGTGTGCGACTGTCGTCATTCAGAATAGACCGTACAACGGATAACAACGCAATGCACCGATCCGCAAATACGAAAGAGACATCACGGCGATACACTATTCCGCTGCTGCTCCTGACGCGCTGATCTGCTGGCTTGACCACTTGATTTCGAAATTAAAGTTGTTGCTTTGCATCTACATCAGCAGCCGTACGACAGAAAATTTCCGGAGCGTCCTATGATCCGATTCGGAGAGAGCATGGTCGTAACGACAATCGTGATAAAAATTATGATGATAATACTTAACTCTTAGTTCTTTCGGTAAAGTCACGAAGGTAAAAAATGAAATAAAAATTAATAAAAATATTGTTTTATTTTTATTAATTTTAATTTCATTTTTTACCTACGTAACATTACCGAAAGAGCTAAGAGTATGAATCCTTGCAGTCACGAAAGCTTCAAATCTAGATTATGATAATGCCCATTAAGGAGATGGTGAGAGGGAACTCCAAAGCCAGCAATGCCGCGTGTGTCATTTTATCGTGCTCGGTGACTTCTGACGTCGTCGCAAGGGATTCGTCGGTGATCGGTCGGTGCGCGCGTGCTGGTTAGCACACGTGGTTAGGCCTGCAATCCAGAGGTCGCCGGCTAGATTCCATTTCGTGGCACGTCAACGGTGCAGGCTTCTTCGGTCCTCTGGCATCGCCGTCCACACAGCCGTGTCTGTCGCTACGCAACTCCAGACGCGTCGCACGAGACGTGAAGCGTGAAACGAGTTGGGCGCTAACAGAGCGGTAGACGCGAAAAATGAAGGAATTTATACGACCACATTAAACACCCCCCCCCCCCCTCTGGTCTTCGCACCCGATTGACTCACAGTTGATGACGTCACATTTTTAAATCCTTTATATTAAGTTCGTTTGCTTGCTTGCTTGCGCGCTTACGACCGTGCAAATCTTTCGGTCGTTTTTTAACCCACTTCCCGTGATCCAATCGAGCTGACATTTTGCACACAGACTCGTTGTGCGTGAGAATTTATTTTAGTGAATTTTTTTTTCTAAAATTTCACACTTTTTAGGAATTTTTTTTATTATATGTAATTACCAATTGCTTAATGGTGGCAGGCAATCATCTGACCCATAGGTGGCAGCCATCTCAAGCCAGAGGACGAGAGGACTCTAGCCGCCACGCATATAAAGGATTTATAGTGAAAAACTTTGTTTTTGCGGGCACATTTTTTACCCACCTCTATTTGAGACCGCAACAGGACAAAGATTTCTCCACATATCTGCGGCTGTCCGCCTGATGACGCTGGTTGTTGTAATTTGCCGGCGAAACGTCACGGCACTCGAATTGTAAATGTTGTGGCTTTACTCTCCAACACACAAGCGGTGTGCTGTACTAGTAACTAATTGGCACGTTTCGTTTGCGTGACAAACCTTACTAATTGGCTGTGTCGGGTGTTGGCGGGTTTAACGACAACATTTACATTCACGCCATCTAACCCCAACAAAACAACTATTATGGACGCATGCCCACGAAAACAGATGCGCCTGTTTTCATGGGCAGGGTCTCAGCTGCGCTCGTTTCAAGCGGCCGAGATTTCCAGATCCCAGGAGCAGAAGCCGTGGTTGGAGCGGAAAACTCCTGTGGCGAGTCGACCGCGGATCAGAGCAACGGCTCGTCCCTGTCGAGCGTGGAAGAGTCGCAGCAGGGCGGCGGCGGTGGTGGCGGCGGGCCGGGCACGCCTGTGAATTGAGCAGCGTGGAGGCGAGGGTTGGTGGATCGCTCAGGTGTCGTGAAAGCCCCTTCCCGTGGACGTCGGGGTGCAAGCAAATGTGGAACTCGGCGTGCTGCACGGGGTCGGGTGTTGTCGCACGTGCGGATCTTCTTCGGGTACTCTGGTTTACCTCCCGCGTACAAACCGCCGTTAATTGGCTGAAAACATCTTAATACGTTGGGGATTGTAGAGCTGGGGTAACTGGTGGTGCCGGCTCACTGCCCGGCTGCGTTCCCACTTCAAGTTTCATTTCATTCAAGTTTCATTTATTTGGTATAGCCCTGTGAGCCATGCGGCTCTTGAGTCGGGTGCAACCGCAACAAACTAAATATGAACGAAGAACATCTTAAAGCGACGACGCGCAACAGAAACATCCTGTCTGCTTGGTTCTTTCGGTAAAGTCACGTAGAATGGAAATAATAAAATAATAAAATTAAACATAATAAAATAATTCTCACGACGTTTCGGCCACAACACAAGCAGCCGTCCTCAGGTGAAGAACAGGTCTGTCGTGAAGACAGCGGCTGAAGACAGAGAGACGCTGTCTACTCGACAGACCTGTTCTCCACCTGAGGACGGCTGCTTGTGTTGTGGCCGAAACGTCGTGAGAATTATTTTATGATGTTTTATTTTTATTATTTTATTATTTCCATTCTACGTGACTTTACCGAAAGAACCAAGAAGATGAATCCCTGCAGTCACGAAAGCTTTAAATCGAAAAGAAACATCCTGGATAAACCAGCAAATCTTCCAAAAAAAATTATCCCGTGGTTCCTCCCCGTGCCCCTTGAGTCGTGCTCTCTCTCTCTCTCTCTTTGAGGGCGAGCGAACGCTGCGTGTGCGTTACAAGTTGAAATGATTATCCATAGTGGGCCCAAAATTGCGTTGAGATGGGCTCTCTTCTGCCCCCTCTTGAGTTGTGAGGCCCCTTTCCTCCACCTTCACAACTGCTCTTTGTGTTTAGTTTGTTGTCCTTCCCCCGCACCTCCGATTAGCACGCTTGGCTACGTACGGTGCGAAAGAAGTTCAACACGTGCAATGCCGGTATGCCGCAGCGCTGCACGTGCGCCGTTTGTTGTATAATCCCGAGGCGTGTGTTGATATGTGGATTGCCAATAGTATCGGAGTATCTTGTTCGGCCCTTAGTAAGGAAAAGCGTTTGGCTGGTGACTTGGCTGAGTGATAGCACGTTCACCAGCTACCATCGTTACAGTCACCTTGTTATTGTTGTGGATCTGATAACCGTGATCGCCGTCAGCTTCACTCGCAACGGACGCGAAAGAACCCCCCGATGTCATTTGCAACAGTTGGTCATCTGCACCTCCAATTAGCACGGTTGGCCACGTACGGTGCGAAAGAAGTTCTACTTACACACACATACGTAGTGTGCGTCAGTATCCGAATGGGACGGCAGGTTACTCAATTGCATTACACGTGATTGAACCCACGACCTCCTCCGACTGGCAGACTAATGAAATGCCCTCGGTCACTCTCGCAAGTGACATTCAGCCTGGTCTCTTTGAGCTCTCGCCTTGGTTATCGCGAAATCAACTTGAAACTGGAAGGTTTTCCCCGCCCCGTGGTTTGGGGCTATCGGACAGAGCGAGCGCCGCTGCCATTTTGCTCTTTTTAAATCCTTTATATTAAGTTCGCTTGCTTGCTTGCGCGCTTACGACCATGTAAATCTTTCGGTCGTTTTTTAACCCACTTCCCGTGATCCAATCGAGCTGACATTTTGCACACAGACTCGTTGTGCGTGACAATCTATTTTCGTGAAATTTTTTCCCCATAATTTTACACTTTTTAGGAAAAAATTAATTATATTTAATTACCAATTGCTTAATGGTGGCAGGCAATCATCTGACCCATAGGTGGCAGCCATCTCAAGCCGGAGGACGAGAGGACTCTAGCCGCCACGCATATAAAGGATTTATAGTGAAAAACTTTGTTTTTACGGGTTAATTTTTTCTTTGTTTTGTCGCGCATCATCCCGTTGCCTCCACCCCGCCGTCGACAAATGGCGGTGCTCACAAAGCCGCTACTGTACTCCCGCCGGTTTGCGTGGCTGCCCTGCCAAGAAAGAAAAAAAATCCGACGATGAAGTTGTTGTGCGATTCCGCAGCGTCGCGTTTTGCTCGGGGGCCGGGTGACGGTTTAAGAGGATTTTTTGAGCAAATGATTTGAATGTTGTATTCTCCGGATTATGACGCACTTGTTTTTCCTCGTATCTTAAGGCAAAAGAAGGTTGGGGGGTGCATCGTTGTCAACTAAGAGCACTGACGATGTTACAGCAGACAGGAAAAATTATATATTTACTGACATAGGACACGCACACATCGGATTCATACGTTAATATAGGGCCCATAAACTCACGTCGGACCCATAGACTTACATAGGACCCATACCTTAATGTAGAATCCAAAGACTTATGCAGAACCCATACACTAACATAAGACGCATAGACTTACATAGAATCCATACGCAAACATTTGACCCGTAGACTTACAAAGAACCTCATTGGAATATGAACTTAAACACAGAAATGGTCAATCACGTGATGATGATGTCGTTCGTCCACTGCTGTGGCTGTGCGTGGTCACCGCAGTCCAGCGCATCACCTGGAGTTTGGCGATAATGACAATGATGATGTCAATGGTGATAATTCAGCCTCGTACGTGGTCCTGTGTGTGTGTGTGTCGTCACCACGGGCCAGTTTATCATCTACAGCTTGGAGATGATGATAATGTTGACGATGATGTTGACGACGATGACGATAATGATGACGACATTCATACATTCTCTTCACCGGTAGTCCTGGTGATGCCGTGCATGTTTTCTCACCGCAGGCCAATGCATCATCTACAGCTTGGAGATGATGATAATGTTGACGACGACGATGATGATGATGATGACATTCATACATTCTCTTCGCCGGTAGTCCTGGTGGTGCTGTACATGTTTTGTTACCGCAGCGCAATGCATCATCTAGAGCTCGGATATGACGACGACGGTTATCATGATGACGATGACGACGATGACGACGACCACTTTGATCCGCCCTCTCTCCGCCGCTGCTCGTGCTGGCGGATGCGTGTGTTGTCCGCGTCGACCAGTGCGCCGTCTAGAGCTCAGAAACAACGACGTTAATCCGCTCGTGTCCGCGTGACCCTCCCCACACCCCCCCGCAGACCAGCGCAGCTGCATCTCTTTCCCGGCACACGAGCTCGCCTACCTCCACTCGGTGGGCGACTGCGCCCCGTGCCTCCTCATCGCCGGCACCAGCGACGGCGCCAAGCTGCGTGCGCTCGAGTGCATCCTCGGGGAGCGCGTGCTGCCCGACCTTCCCTCGGACGGTGCGGCCCCGCTCTCGTCACTTGCGTTCAAACGACAAAGGGGCCGACCGTAAACTCGATCCTCCCCCCGTGCAAGGGAATTAATCCGCTTGTGCTGTACTGGCACGTATCGGCAAGCCGAGAGATGAATTGCGAGCTATTTTAAACTATTTGAACTGGAAGCTATTTTCTATGTTACCAGGTGTTAAGGCCCGCTGAGCTATGGAGATCTTTATCAGAAGCGATCTGGCCACGAATGAAAGCCCGATTAAGTGGCTTGTCATCATCACTCTAAACGCATGGTGTTCATTCTAAATGTGGAGGGGAAAACCGGAGGACCCGGAGAAAAATCCACGCGAACCACGGGGAGAGGGAACATGCAAACTCCAAATATACAGCAGCAGGTGTCAGGGATCGAACCCACGACCTCCTGTATACCAGGCGAGGTAGTTAACATCTCGGCAGCGCGGCTTTCTGATGATCATTCAACACCCTTGTTTAGCATTTTTGCGATTTTTGAAATTGCTGCCTCATACCACGGCCTGCCAGAAATTCCTTCACGAGGAGGGGCTCTAGGGGGCCCTTCTGGGGGTGGGGGGGATATTTGGCCTACTCTAGCCCCAGGGGTTCAATGAGTTGCATCGGCTTTAGAAAATGTTTGAATGCACGCCCGTGCGTGAATATTCGGAAAAGCTTTCTCGTTGTGCGGACGACGCGTTTCAGCGCCTCTTCAAGCAGTCGTCCGCGTGCGACTAAGTGAACGTACTTGTACACGCACGAGCCCATTCGCCCAAGACCGACATACTTCGAATGTCTCGGGGACGAGACTGCATCGTGCGAAAGTGGAATTCGTCCCAGAGGTCGCAACCGGGTACCCGATACCCCGTACCCTACCCGATACCCGGCTACCCGTACCCGGCCGGTTACGGGTACGGGTAGCCGTTTGCGACCCTGGTGCGGCCGGGTACGGGTAGGCCGTGAGTCACTGGTGAGTAACTGTTTGTCACTCATTTCGGGTAGGGTACGGGTACGGGTAGGCCGTGAGTCACTGGTGAGTAACTGTTTGTCACTCATTTCGGGTAGGGTACGGGTAGGCCATGAGTCACTGGTGAGTAACTGTTTGTCACTCATTTCGGGTAGGGAACGGGTACCCGTACCCGGCTGGGTACGGATACGGGTACCCATTTGCGACCCTGGTGCAGCCGGGTACGGGTAAGGAATCAAAACCCGTTTGCGACCTCCGTCCCCAACAGCTCCCCCTCAACCGCACTCCGCTCTCTCTCCTCCCGGCCTCCCGGCTGTAGCGGACAATGCGGGCGGTGGAACTGCCGACGGCGTCGGGAACGGCAATGGCGGCGGCGGCGGCGACGGTGGCGGCAGCACGGGAGCGGCGTGCCGGGCAACGCGGCTGCGGCACGGCACGGAGCGTCGCGCCAGCCTCGTCCTGCCGGGGCAGTTTGAGCTGCTGCACCCGCAGCAGGCCACGCCGCCGCAAGCAGCCTCTGCAGCAGCAGGAGCAGTCGCAAACAGCCGCAGCAGCAGCAGCTGCAGCAGCAACAGCTACAGCAGCAGCTACAGCAGCAGCTGCAACAGCAGCTGCAGCAGCAGCAGCACGAAGACGACGACTGGGAGAGGACGCCGGCTGCTGTTGCCGCTACCGCCGCTTACCTGCGCATGCTCCAGCCCGAGTTGCCAAGACCCGGCGTTCCGGCAAGCTCAGCTGGAGCTCAGCCTGCCGCACCCGCTGCTCAAGGTGACCGCGCGGGGCGCTGCTGGCGGTCGCACGGAGGGGTTGACGATCAACTGATCTCGAGGAGCCGTCCGTGGGGCGCGCCACGGTGGCGAGGAGATGTTAACTACCTCGCCTGGTATACAGGAGGTCGTGGGTTCGATCCCGACCCTGACGCCTGCTGCTGTATATTTGAAGTTTGCGTGTCTCTCTCTCTCTCATCACGGTGGCTAGGAGATGTTAACTGCCTCGCCTGGTACACAGGAGGTCGTGGGTTCGATCCCGACCCTGACGCCTGCTGCTGTATATTTGGAGTTTGCATGTCTCTTTCTCATCACGGTGGCTAGGAGATGTTAACTGCCTCGCCTGGTACACAGGAGGTCGTGGGTTCGATCCCGACCCTGACGCCTGCTGTATATTTGGAGTTTGCGTGTCTCTTTCTCTCTCATCACGGTGGCTATGAGATGTTAACTACCTCGCCTGGTACACAGGAGGTCGTGGGTTCGATCCCGACCCTGACGCCTGCTGTATATTTGGAGTTTGCGTGTCTCTCTCCTCATCACGGTGGCTAGGAGGTGTTAACTACCCCGCCTGGTACACAGGAGGTCGTGGGTTCAATCCCGACCCTGACGCCTGCTGTATATTTGGAGTTTGCGTGTCTCTTTCTCTCTCATCACGGTGGCTAGGAGATGTTAACTACCTCGCCTGGTATACAGGAGGTCGTGGGTTCGATCCCGACCCTGACGCCTGCTGTATATTTGGAGTTTGCGTGTCTCTCTCTCTCTCATCACGGTGGCTAGGAGATGTTAACTACCCGCCTGGTACACAGGAGGTCGTGGGTTCGATCCGGACCCTGACGCCTGCTGCTGTATATTTGAAGTTTGCGCGGTCTCTCCCTGTGCTCGCGTGGATTTTCTTCCGGGTCCCCCGGTTTCCCCCCTCCGCCTTTAGAATCACATCACGCGTTTAGAGTATTTGGCTGCTAGAAATCCCCACGTGATGATGACAAGCCACTTCGTTTGCCTATCATTAGTGCTAGCCAGGTCGCTACTGCAAAAACAGCTGCGACCCAGAGGTCGCAAACGGGTTTTGATTCCGTACCCGTACCCGGCCGCACCAGGGTCGCAAACGGGTACCCGTACCCGGCCGTACCCGTACCCTACCCATACCCGGCCGGGTACGGGTAAGGAACGGGTATCGGGTACCTGATTGCGACCTCTGGGATGAAGCCATGTTGCAGGCGCGGGTGGGTTGATTCTAGGAACTTGAATTGTGAGAAGAGACAAGACGTTGGGAAATGAGTGACAAACGGTTTACTCACCAGTGACTCACGGCCTACCTGTACCCGTACCCGGCCGCACCAGGGTCGCAAACGGCTACCCGTACCCGGCCGGGTACGGGTAGCCGGGTATCGGGTAGGGTAACGGGTATCGGGTACCCGGTTGCGACCTCTGGCCTGACCTGGTAAAAGAAAAAGTGTATTTTGTTTTTGCCATGATGATAAATTACAAAGCACCCACCAACGGGATATATTAACGGCGCGGGAGTTTTAACAACGCGGTGCCGGAACGTCGCGGCGGGGCGCGCCACGCTGAAAGCCAGGCGCCCACTCACGTGCGGAATGTCGCACGGGCAGGAAATACTTCATTAGCACCGAGTCGACACGATCGCCAAGTGAAAAAAAACACCCAATAAACATCCCATATGTAATTTCGATTTAAAGCTTTCATGACTGCAGGGATTCATCTTCTTGGTTCTTTCGGTAAAGTCACGTATTTCCATTCTACGTGACTTTACCGAAAGAACCAAGAAGATGAATCCAATATATAATGTATGAAAATATATATATGAAGTACAACTTCGCATATCCGACCAGCTGGGGACTGAAGTACAGGCGGACAAGTGAGAAGGTCGGATATTCGAACGTGTGTGGGGAATGACGGTCAAACACAAAGGGTCCCTCATCAATTCGTCGTCTTTCCCCACCCGCCCTCCGACCGGCACGGTTGGCTACGTTACGGTGCGAAGGAAGCTCGGCGTACGAACACCGAGGGCCTCCCGAAGCCCGTCGCCATCCCTCACGATCGCACGATGCGGGAACCTGGCGGCCGCGTGCACGCGAGCGGATTTCACGGCTCCACGTCCCCCGCGGGAGTGGCCCCCTCCTTGGGCTCGCGTTCCGCTGTGAGGCACGACCCTCGGCCTTCACGACGTCTCTGGCCTGCGCGCGTTCTCTCGCCCCGGCCTGTCCTCCTCGCCTACACGCCTTGTCCCCCCCCGCCCCGACACACGCCCCTCAGTTTTCATCGCCCTCGCGAGCGCGCAGAGAACCCGCAACTGTCCCATTGTCACGAGCCGTAGTTCCTAAACCCAATATGTCGTCGCCTTCACGCCCCTCGCGGATTATTGCGGCCGCGTTGGCATTGTCATGGCCAGCGGGCGTCTTGCTGGCACAGCTGCGGCGATGACACAACGTGCGAGGCAGCGTGTTGTTGTTGTGGTTTGTGCGGGTAACACAACGTGCAAGGCGAACTGTTGTTGTTGTTGTGTGGTGTGTGCGGGTAACACAACGTGCAAGGCAGCGTGTTGTTGTTGTTGTGGTGTAGGCGGGTAACAACAACGTGCAAGGCAGCGTGTTGTTGTTGTTGTGTTGGCGAGTAACAACAACGCTCCCGTGTTGCCAGGGAAAGTTCATAGCGAGTAGCCTGCGGGCGCAAGGAATGCTGCGCGTGAGCTCCAATAATCATCTGCTTTGTTTTTAACAACATGTGTGGTTACCATGGCAACTGGGAAGTTTTTAAGTACTGGGCACCACGGCGGCTAGGAGATGTTAACTACCTCGCCTGGTATACAGGAGGTCGTGGGTTCCATCCCAACCCTGACGCCTGCTGCTGTATATTTGGAGTTTGCGTCTCTCTCTCTCTCATCACCGTCACGATGGCTAGGAGATGTTAACTACCTCGCCTGGTATACAGGAGGTTGTGGGTTCGATCCGACGCCTGTACACACTTGGAGTTTGCGTGTGTCTCTCCCCGTGGTCGCGTGGATTTTTTCCTGGTCCGCGGTTTTTTTCGCTCCACATTTCAGCAATGTCACGCGTTTAGAGAATTTGGCGGCTATACATTGGCACGTGATGACAGCCACTTAGTTGGGCTGTCATTTGTCGCTAGGCCGCTCATGAAAGAGAGCTGCATAGCTCAGTGGGCCTTAGCTGGTGAAATAAAAAATAGTTGGTTCCTAATGGCAAAGCATGGCCTGTTGTATGTACGTATGTTAAAATTACTTTGCATCCTACGTAGCCAACCGTGTTAATCGAAGGTGCGTGTTGGTGT